TCTGGAAAAAGAAAGAAAAGGGTTATAGGCTTGTCTTCTATGAAACAGCTGAATGTTGGTTTTTTTTTTTTTCCTCTTCTTAGCATGTGTGTTGTGACTGCAAGAAGGATTTTTGCTCGGTTTGTTCAGTCTCGCAAGAGAATCTCAGAAGGTGTTCTACTTGTCACTTGCTGCAAGAAACAGCATTTCAGCGACCTCAGTTAATGCGACTCAAAGTAAAGGATCTGCGTCAGTACCTTATTCTCAGAAACATACCCACAGATACGTGCAGAGAGAAAGAAGACTTGGTGGATCTTGTGCTGTGCCATCATGGGTTAGGTCCTGGGGAGGATACGGACGCTGGTAGCTTGCGCTCATCACGGTCACAGACTTCTGGGTTTTTTACTCATCCATTTTCTATGTCTGTATCGGTGTCTTCTCAAGGAGAACTTGCAAACAGAAGGGGAAGCACAGGAAATGGAACACCTTTACGGGTACAATAACTAGAATGTGTTTTATGTGTATTTTTGTAATGGATACGCATCATGTTAAAAGAAAACAAAAGACCAACTGGTACAGTTGGGGGTGGCTGGAAGAATGCCTCTTGTGTTTCTGGCCTGAACATGGAAGATTATTAGATCAGATTGCTGGCTTAGATGGTAGGGTTGACTTAAATTGGTAATGATTAGTAGCAATTGAACTTCAAAATGTCTTTGTCATCTGTGATTAGTTTGGCAGAAAGGAAGATATTTTAGAAGGGATCATGTGTGTTTTTTTTAAATCCTGATTAATTTCGTTTTGTACACAGGGACAAACTGAAACATCTTCTATAAATAACGAAGAAGAAGAAAGTGCTGAGGAGCAGGTAAGACAAGAACTATGCAAAGAATACATTTTTGGCCTGTGATACCATAAAGTGTTTAGATCTCTGTCACTGTTCAGTATCATGTTCTAGTTCTTCCAACATTAGCTCTGTCTAGTAACGTGTATCTGTAAATACTTGCTCTAAAAAGAATACAACTTCAGTCGAGCTGCTGCAGCTTAACGTAGTTTCTTGTGGTAAGATGGAAAAACCTGGAGCTTTGAACTTACCAGGACATTTAAAAACATGTAGTTGCTGTGTTTCAGACTCCTGGGTTGTCAAGAAAACGAGCAAGGGCATCTTTGTCTGATATTTCAAGTCTGGAAGACATTGAAGGCTTGACTGTTCGGCAGTTGAAGGAAATACTCGCGTGTAACTTTGTCAACTACTCAGGATGCTGTGAGAAATGGGAACTTGTGGAAAAAGTGAGCAGGCTATACAGAGAGAGCGAGGAAAACCACAAGACACGTAGGTTGATATTTAACTCTCTCCTTTCTTTCCTGGGTTCCAGTAGCTGGTTCTGCCAACAGACTTGGTATTTCACCTGGTCTGCCTTTCTGGAACAACTGACAGTGTGTCTTCATAGTTCGAGCTGCATCTAGGAGAGCTGAATGTGGTACTAGTGCGTAAAGCTTTTCAGGATTCATGCTTTTTTTTTTTTTTTTTTTAAGACAGCTTTGGAAAATAAGAGAGCTCAGCTTTCACAGGGAAGGTAAAATTGCACAACAGAGAACTAGTTTCTCAGAGAACGTGAAACTTGGCACCTCCACATCCTTTATTAGGTTTCACAAGGCATTAACAAGAGAGCTTCTCTGTAGCTGTCAACAGACCAAAGCAATTCAGGTCTTTTGCTGTGGTACAGCATTAAAAGCTACAGTGGCAAAAGTCCAAGTTCAAGTGGTTTGGTCTCAATCCATGCTTTGATGATAAGGTGCTCCCGTGGCTGCAGCTCAATGACTGATATTCTAACCTCTGTTCCACTCAACAATTGGAGTCTTTCACTTGCATGATTGTAGTATAGCTACAGTCTGATTTCTGTTAACAAAGTGTGCTCTGAGAAACAACTTCTTGAGACACCACTGGCTTGAAAAATTCCTGCCTGGCTCTTCATTCCTGCATCCACCAGTTAGGTTGTAAGGAAGAGGGGACAGCAGCGAGCAGCTTGCTAGCCTGGGGCTGCTTCACAGCCAGGTGCTGCCAGCTGCTGTGCTGTGGTGGCTGCAGTAGTCAGGTGTGAAATAATCAGCTCATCAGGGTGGAGAAGGATGATTCTGAAGGTGATGGCTGCTCACTTCTTTGGTGGTACTGCTAATGAATGTCAAAGCATGGCTCAAATGAGACCCTCAGTCTGGTGATTAAACTAGAATTGAAAACCTGTCTGAAATCAAGTGTTAAACTTCATTTTTTTTCAGTATAGTCTGACAGAACACAGTTACTGAGATGTCTGTTTGCAGTGAAACTTGACAGGCTTTGTTCAATTCTGCCATCTTCACAGCTTACTCATGCTTCTGGTTTCTTGGTTCACTTTATTCTGTATTACTCTGTATAATCACAAGGAAAGTATTCTGCCAAGTGAGGTGAGCTCAGCAATGGAAAAGCATCATGCTCTGAATTTTAAATACTGTCATTAGATGCTCAGTTGAGAATCAGACGTTCATGTAGAGGTTAAGGAATAGAAATTCTTAGCTCTCAATTAGAACAGTTCTAAGCATGGAGCAGCACAACTTGATGCTAAACTAATGGTGTTTTAGCTGTTGTCTGGGCTAGAACTTAAAAGGATTTTCAGGGCCTGAATATGTGACCTCTCTCTCTGTTGCTTTTCAGAGGGTGAGAAGATGCAGCTGAACGATAATGATGACAACTTGTGCCGGATCTGCATGGATGCAGTGATCGACTGCGTCCTGCTGGAGTGTGGCCACATGGTCACATGCACAAAGTGCGGCAAGAGAATGAGCGAGTGCCCCATCTGCCGACAGTACGTTGTGCGGGCTGTGCATGTGTTCAAATCATAAACAAAGACCAAAAGTGGATGGTATGGTCATCCCACCAGGATTTCTGGGGGCAGGAGTGCTGACCCTTGGGGCATATGTCAGCTTTTTAGTTCTCAAAATAACCACAACTGTCTGAACATCAGGATACAGAAGTTTATGAACCACTTTTCTACAGCATACTGAGTCATGGTTGGGCAGGACCAGCCAATGCCTGTGTGTACAGTAATAGAGCTGCCTGACTTACCTTCTAAACCTGCAAACTGTCCGAGTCAAACTGTTTACAGCAGTTCTTGCTCTCTTCTGAAGAATACCACCCCTAGTTATCGCATTCAGTACTCAGCAAGTGGTTGCAGAAAACACCTTTGCTTGACCAAATTAGTGTTAGGTTGTCTAGCCTGTTAAAAGCAACAACTTTATCAGTTGAATATTCAGCTCTTATGTAATTAAATATAGAATGTAACTGTTCCGGCACTGTTCCTGCAACAGTGGTAACAGTATAAAGACTGTAGAAAGCACTGCCATTAACTGTACCTGCACAGAAGTCCTTAAGCAATCTATTTTCTGGTGATTGCTTCGCTCAGAATGTCTGACATTACCAGCGTATTGTCTTGGCCATTCTTTGTAAGTGTGCGAAAAGCTGTCATTATGTAGGGCTCTATTATGTGGTGTCCAAATACTAAGTTTTTTTTTTTGTTTAGTTTTTAGTTTAGGAATAAAGTATTTTTTTAAAAAGGGGGTAGAGTAAACCATATTCTCGTGGTTCTTAATCCACTCATGCCTATTGTAACTATTAACTTACAGGTGATGATTGTATTTCATGTGCCGACAAGCTGATATTACTGTGAATACTAATCAGGGTCATGAAACTACTTGCTGCTAACATGTGGAATGTACGGTATTACTAACCTTAAATGGGAAGGGTTTTATTAAGGATAGGGGGAAGGAAGCCTGGTGTTTGTTTAAAACCTCACACTCATGGACTTCAACCAAGGCTGCGGTACCAGTAACCACGCTTCCGATCAGCTGCTGCCTGACCTGTGTTGCTGTCAGCCCTTGGCCCGGGTTCTAGCAGGGCTCTGTGCCATCGCGGTGGGGTAAGTGTGCTGTTGGAGCAAACGTTTTAACGGTGCCTGTGGGCTATCTGTGACAGCCTTCTTAGGGAAAATAGCTGCAAAAATCACTAGAATTGTGGGGACAGGATACCTAAGCATGGCCATGCTGGCACTTAACAGAGTAAGTTCATGCTCCAAAAAGCTGAGGAAAGAACTTAAAGCCACAGTTTTGTCTTTAAATTTCCCCCATGCTAGCAAAGTAATGGATACGAAGATGTTTTGCCATGGATATAGTACCTAATAATTCTTACCTCTGCTACCTTGCCTGTCATTCTTGCTCTCGTCTTTTACGTGGCTGGCTTGAAAAAGAGAAAGTAGCTCCTCCTTAAATTAAAATATGCAGCTTAAAGACACTGCTGGTTATTTTTCAGAAGGGAGCAAACCTCTCAATGGCTTTATTTTTTAGAAGTAACTTTTTAATGATACTTAATTCCTGGAGTCTCTGTTCAATGGGTAAGCTAATGAAGACAGACTTACTATATGTTATTTCCATGCTGATCATTAGCCACACAAGTTCAATAAAGATTTGTGATGGGCTTTCTCAGCCTCTGGCTCTTTTCTTAACCAGCCGCAGGAGGTGTTGGAGAGTCAGCTTGCGCTTTAACAGTCTTTTACAGGTACGTACTGTGGCAGACACCAGCTTGAAGAAGGTACGTGTATTCTATTTTCCCTCAGTAATAAGGTACCGGAATAGGCCACCGTAGAGGCACAGGCCAAAGCCTGGTTGTAATGTGTCAGAAGTCAGGGCTTTCACCAAGGCTGCAAGCAGTTACCTTCTCAGTGTGCAGAACCAGGACCTGGCTGTGTTACGCTACACACGGCAAACCACACACCCAGGCAATTTTCTCTGCTCTAAGTCTTGCTCAGTACAATTACTTTCCCTGGCTCTGCACAACACATGAAAGAGAAGTCAACAAGTCCCATTTCTCAGCAAGAAGTCCCTCTACTTGCTCTCTTTGCTCAACTGCACTAATTATAAGCACTCCCCACCCCTGAAGTCCCCACAACTTCCCCACCGGCAATCCCAACTTGGAACAAAAGCCCTCAGAGCCAGTGTCTGTTTTTGTACAATTGTTTATACAAATTCAACAAAGGTAAAACTGCATCAGGAAGGTCTACGAAAACAACACCTTACAACAATGGCACTTATGAATGCAGAATTTTACAATCAGGAAATAACCATGTTATAAACCTTAAATGAGAACTCAACTCACACTTCAAAGAAAGAGAGACTACGTTTGACCATTTATTCTACTGCTGGACTCACTGTATAAATTAATTTTATATTGAGTACAAGAGCTCATGCTACAGAGTGAAACCCTCCTATGTGCAAAAGCTGAAATTGGAATTTTTAAAATTTTGAGAAAAAGGTGATTTCTATACAGATAAAACTTGGCAAAGTGTTTTACTTCAACTATAATTTACACCTTATTTCCACAACATGCTTATGTCACTTCTGAAGTATACAAAGCAGGATATAAACTTCCATTAAAACATGCTTTAAGTTGAAAGTATTAACCTACTTTTCCTGACCTGGGCACGTTTGTAGATAGATACTGTCTACGAAGTATAGGTTAAGTTCTCTCCTACCATAAGTAAAGATAAAAATTGGCAATCAAAACCGAAACACTGGTAATGCATTCAAACATTGCATAAATAATTTTTAAACAATTTTTGTACAAAAATAGTTCTGCATAATGTAAGATGTAACAAAACAAAATGTGTTAAGAAGGCAGAAATGCAGTGCGTGGTCCACTTTAATGACACCAACTTTTTTTTTGTTGTTTTAAGAAATGAAAAGCAGAAATCAAATTTACACTACCAAGCACATGCTGTGGTACTTTAAATAACAGTATTTCTTGGAGATCAGTCTTCTTCCGGGTGTGAACAATTATCATCAATAACAGTCGCCTTATGAATTTGCATAAGAGCCAGTGCAGGACATCCCAGGTAGACTGAATTAGTGGCACAAGTTGAAATTCTTAACATGGGTAGTTTAACGTTGTTCTCTCCTCGACAAGAGTTGTAAAATCCAATTGCGGCATCTTCCAATATTCCAAGTTCCCAATTGAAAATAAAATCCCTACATGTTCTTAGTCCCGTCCCTCCCCCCACCCCGCCCCAGTATTTACACAGGTCCTTTAACTAACTCAGTTTTTGCAGAAGTTTTTCTTCCACTTGCCCAAACTGAACACTTACTGACATCTCTGCTATGAACTGCTCACAGCCTTCTTTTGTCACTTGCTTGCAGTACCTCAAGTCGATCTGGCAGATGTTTCCACAACGTTTGAAGTAAGACAGGCACTGGTCAGTAACCTTATTGCAGTCTGCCAAAAAAAAAGAGGGGAGAGAAATAAATGTAACAGCGTGTCTTGGTTTGTTCTTCAGCACAAGGACAATTCAACCTGACCGCAGTAAGGCCCGTTCTGCTCCTGTGCTGTGCTGACACCAAAATCACCCCAACCAGCCCGGCTGCCGTGCTCTGATCCCTGAGATTCTGTTGTGTAACTGATGAGATAAAGCAGAGCACCAGCTGCACAGAGCGGCAGCGTTTGTAAATCCCACGAGGAGGAGGATGAGCGAGGTAACAGCACGTGGCTCCCACCAGGGAGGGGCTGTTGCACATCAGCCAGAGGAGGGAGGGCCCTGGGAAAGCTGGGCAGCTGCGGGATTATTTACACCGGCAGCACAGAAATGGAGCGCTGGTGGGGCTGTTACACAGGGGGCATGGATAGAGGTAGCTGGGGAAAACCACTTCCACTGCTGAGTATTTCACACAGGTCTAACAGCGACGAGCCATTCCCATCCTCCCCTCCCCTGAGTTCATGCTGTGTACCTGATAAATTAATTTCTGTTAACGAATCCCGCGTGGTGGTTCCAACTGCGGTCAGCAGGTTAATAGACTGATCTGTCACGTGATTACAGTAACTGAGATTGAGTTTGGAGAGCAGAGGCATGTGCCTTATGATCAGCCGCAAAGACGCATCGGTAATATCCAGGCCGGCCAGGCGCAGCTCAACTATGTTCCGTAGCTTACTCCGGTTGTCGATCTGACCTGGAAAGCAGGAGAGGCAGGTCACTCCTCCGAGCCTCGCGCCGCATCGCGAACATCTGCACGTCTCTAGGAAATGCACTGTGACACACAACACTGCTGCCCTAAGTTAACTTCAGATGCTTCTGCCTGTCTGTTGCTTTGGAGGGGACATCAGCAGGAACACTTGTCTATTTTTGGCACAGGCACGTGGGCAAAAACCACCTCCTGATTTTAAAACAAAAAGGGATAAAAGTAACTGCAGGGGCCCAGCGGAATTACAAGTCGGGAATAAGCAGTAGGCTGTGCAGTGCATGCCAGAAAGCAGATCTGATTTGCTCAAAATTTCACCTGAGCTGAAATCCGGGCGAATGTGGCATGACCCACAGAACTGCTCCTTCCCTGAACTGGAAGAAAGTGTTTCCATACTCTCTAAAGTACACCCGTTGCAGCCTGAAGAGAAGAAAGTCAGACAGAAAACCAGCACAGTGGCTCAGATGACTGCTCAGCAGTCAGAACATCACTCAATACCCAGCGGCTTCCAGCGAGGTGTTGCGAGTCACTACTGAACCACCTCAAGCAGAGCCCAGAACCCCGCCGGTGCTAGCTGCAGGGCTTCCTGCACACCCCCTGCAGGTGGGACTAGCAGCAGAACGTGCCACAGAGCAGATGGGACAGGCCTCCCGCGCTCCCCCCGCCTGTTACCTGGCCGGTTATCTGTGGGTGGCGACAAGAGGTCTCTCATTTGGGCGTCTTTCAGGCCTTCTGCCCACTGCACATCCAGAGTTCGGAGTAAAGGACAGCTGGAACTACAAAGTGCTGACACTGCTATCCATGAGCACCCTGATAACAGCAGGTCTCGAAGACCTGCAGATACAGAAGAAATTGGAGCATGTGGCCTACCCAGAGAGGCGTGCACGGTGATCTGCTATCCCTAGCAGGCTGGGGTGAGCCCAGTGCTGCTCTGAAACGATCCCAGCACTCCAGGGCAAGCAGGGACCCCGTGAGCCTCCTCCTGCCCAGCCCTCCCTCCCACCCTCCTCCTGCAACTTTGTTCCTGTGGCGGAGAACAGTTCTGCAGCAGCCCTCAGCCGCACGCTTCGCTGATCAAGTCAGCACAGGCACTCCCCCCAGCAATGTTACCCGTAGACTGAGACCTGCCTCAAATTACTCTACAACGCCAAGTAGTCACAGCATAACTATTTTTTGGGCTCATTTTAACATGTTGATGCTTCATCCCTACGTATCTATTCCTCGCATCAGATAAGAGGGATCCCGCCAGCCATCCCTCAGAGATTGCAGGTTAGATACAAACGGGTTTGCCAGATTTGGTGAAAAGCGATCAAGAAAACGTCACTTACCTGGCAGTCTGTTGATAAGCCAGCTCAGCTGCTTTTTAGATATATTTGTCCAGCTAAGATCAAGGGTTACAGGCTGTCTCCTAATAATGCCACTAAGCATAAGTGGAGTGATGGATTTACAATGGTTTAAATCTATTTTGGTCCATAATCTTTTGTCACAGCACCTACCCAAAAAGAAAAAAGCCAACAGCGCTTTAATTTGGCACTCATTTTCATTTGTGTGAGACTTTAAAAGATGTCATTGAATGGGAGGGAAAACTACAGCATTTAATGGGAAATAGCCAAACTAAGGCTCAGTGGTGCTAAGATGAGCACGCAAATAGAAACAATGCTACATAGGTTTGAAGTTTCTCCATCAAATGTATCATGCAATAAATGGAATTATTTCTACGGAATTACAAGTGTCAGCAACTTAGGATCTCATTTTAAGTCATCAGTTTCCTTATTAAAATCCATCTCCTAGCCTGAACATAAGAACCTTCTTTCTTATCTTTCGAATAAAAAGACTGGTTAGAAGTTACTGTTCTGATTTTCCTTGCACTTTCCACCTAAACCCAGTGAATTTTATAAAACAGATCCCCCTCTCCTGGTTCCGTGGTTTTGCATTATTGCCATCTAGATGGCTTCTGCATTTTGACACTGTCTTTCTGGTTCTCTAAGGGCCACCAACAAGAAACCCAAATGGGTTTGCGAGACTCCAAGTTTTCTTGAATCTTCCACTAGAAAATATCGTGCTTAAGTGGAAAAAGTGTCTTAACACCTTTCTGTGACACCAAGAAATCCAGGGAAGGGGGGCTCCATGGGCATCACCTTGCCCCAAATTATCGACCTTTTTGGTGTTTACCCCGTTTGATACTGCACTGTGCTACCAAGGAGCCTCTGTCTGATTTGCCCACCTGTGTGCACACCACAGCCCAATCTCAGATGACAGACAAAAAGGTATTTTACTGCAAGTTCAGTGAAACATGTAAACCTGTTCACTAATGCTTCCTGCTGTGGTACAGTCACTGACTGTTAATTTTTACACTCCGGTGCCCTGAGCACCCAACAGACACACTGTAAGTAAAGGCGATGATGAAAGATTTCTCCACCGGCTCTGCTGGTAGAGAATCAGCAACGGGGATCGCTCTTTGTGTACCCTCTACAGGGCAACGATCAGAACGGACCTTCTGGAGTACACTGAGGGCACCGGGAGATCCCCACTGTATCTCAACAGATATTTAATGGCTGAGCTGCAAAAACAACTGTGCTAGCAGCGAGCAGCTCCTGGGGGCACAATGACACCAAGGCTTAGCATGACCCAGGCTGGCTGTTCCAGCGTGCGGAACATTGCGGTGTCTCTGTACGGAACAGCCTGCTCTGGGGGCTACAGCTCCGGCAGCCCGGTGCACAAACACAAAACTCCCACCAGAAGTGCCAGTAACTGCTGCTTCTGAGAGAGCATCAGAAGAAGACAAGCTACTTCTTCAGATGCTGCTGGGCACCCTTTCCCCTTGTGCTCAGCAGAGCTTCAGTAATAACCTGCACAGCTCTCTGAGCAGACGTTATCACTGCCAGTCACCCACCTCCCTTCAGAGTGCCCCCCCATCAGACCCAGCTCGGTTCCCCTGCTCCTTACCATCTGTTCCAGGTCTTGCAAACTCTCATACAGATGCACAAGTCTCTATGACTGAGGTAGCTAAAGACAGCCATCCAGACTTCCCGCTGCATCACGTGGGCTGCCCCGTCATCCAGGGGGAGCGAGTCCGGAGGGGGGCTGATGGGAGGCGGCCGGATAACGTGCCGCTCCATCTGAATGCATTTGGGAGGAGAGAGCGAAGGCGGGGGCCGGGTTATTCCCCGAGGGGTGCTTCGCAGGCTGGGGATGAGCTGGTGCCTCAGCTCCCGGGGAGTCCCGTTCAAACCCTTGTTGAACCTATGGAGTCTCTCGCTGTTGCTCAAAGCGCGCTTTGGCTCCTCGTTTTCACTCTCCGGTTCGGATTTGATGGGTTGGTGATTCTCATTGGCAAGGCTGTTCTCGGTTTTTTGGATCTCCTGGTTGAGCTCCTTGCTGAGCTCCTTGCTCAGTTCCTTATTGGGAAGCCGCCTTTTCCGCCTCATCTTGAACTTCTTCTTGTCCCTGGACTCGGCGCCCTCCGTGCTGGGACCCGCGGTGGGCGAGCTGGAGCGCGACTGGTCGCTGTCCTTGGACCTGGGGGGTGCTTCAGGCAGCTCATCCTCCGGCTCCTGCTTGAGGCGCCGCAGGGGTTTGATCATGGCAGCTCGGTCATCTGAAGCCTTCCACGATCGCCGCTGAAAAGGAAGAGACAAGGGCTGACTATTTGAGCAAGAAGGCGCCCGGCAACACTCGGCAACGCTGATGCTCTACAGGGCAGCCATGCCCGGGGGGCCGGGCTGCCTGCCAGCACAGCGCCCCTCCCGTCCCAGCACATGGGCACATTCGCCGGCCAAAGGTATCAAGTTGAAGTGCCATCACAGGGATGAGGAGGCCAGCTATGGGCTCTCCAGACTCCGAGGGAGCGATAAACGCCTTGATTCAGCATGCACAATCCTGCAGATTTAAGGGCCTTATCGTTACACACCAGACAATTTACATACACAAGATGAACAGCGTACGATAGACAGTTTGTTGTTTTTTTTTCCCCAACGGGCCAGAAGAAACCAGGCTCGGGACGCGTTCATTGGGCAAAGCTCCCACTGTCAACACTGCCTGACACACGTGGGTGCCCAATGGCCAGAAGTTGAATTTCTGAAAGCTCCTGGATTGCCATCCCCGGCTCGCACTGTGGCTGTGCTCCTGTTGTGGCCTTTACTGCTGGATACTCACAGCCTCGGTCAACCACACTTTAGCTGCCCCTTTATGTCCTACTGAATGAACTCGGTTCATCTTCTCAAGCTTCCCCCACCTCCGGTGCATGCAGAACAGGGGATGCGACTGACAGCTCTGACACTGCTAGGCGGACGGGACCTCACGCTGCCACGATCTCCGACGCAACGCGGGCTCACGAGGGCTGGCTGGTGCCTTCTTCCCTGCCCTGGTCACTGTTCGTAAAAGCGAACCGCGCTTCGCTCGCTTGCTTTAATCTAGTCTCTCCTGGATGCACACCGGATGGAAATGTAGGAGATGGATCAGCCAAAAGCAAGGAAGACTTCAAGAGTAATTGATCGCTGCATGCAAGAAGAAGCTAGCAACTGTTAAAATGAAACAGATTTAATGAGAAGAGATCAGGACTGACAAGGAAAGGAGAACTGCTGTGAACACGCTCGCTGTATCAGAATGCCTATCCCTTTGCAATGAACTAGTGGGATCAAGTCAGTGATCTGCTCCTGTGTTCCACACTGCAGAGAAAGCTGATCACCCTGTCCTTAAACACATTATAAAGGAAGAGGTCGCAGAACGTTAATGACAGGTTAGAAGAAAAGAAGTAAACCATCAGACTACTGCCGGCTTGCAACATCCTTCACGCAAGGTACTGATGAGCGCATAACTTAAAGGTATCAGAGTCCTGTTATCACAGCAGATTGTGAGAGGTGAATCAATATTGTGCCAGCGGGGGGCTTCATGAGTGTGCTGTGACACAGACTGCTGGGGGGGTGCATGGCAAGGGCAGGGCTCAGCCACGCAGGGGGAGCAAAACATCAGTACAGAAACAGGATTTCATTCCTTGGTGTCATCAAAACACAGCTTTCAACTGTGTTTTAATATAGGACACAAACCCAGGACATACAGAACCAGACACTGCAGCTAACTATTCTGGAGCGTAAAGGCTTGCAAGAGAGAGACTCTGTAACTTCAAGATGTACATGGCATAACAAAGATGCCTGCTGTGACATAAAGACATGGCTGATGAACTGGCTCACCACTCGGCTCACGTGAGAATGATGAAAAAGGATTGAGAACACATCTTTTAAAAAGGCAAAGCACCTTCTTCCTGAAGAGTTTCTCTTCTTGTCCAAGTTTTAGCTGTTGGAAGAAAGACAAGTAAAAACCCCCAAACATGACATTTGTTCTGCTGTCTGTTGAAAGTTTGGTGACCAGCAATGCCTTCCTCACACGCTGGGGGGCTTTCACGGAGCAATTCAAGCCATCCATAAACACTCCAGTGAGTCCGCAGGGATGGGAAAAGGAAATCATGGCCAGAAAGCAGATGTGCATAACCTGGTGTCATGAATTTTGCTCTCCCACTCCACCAAAGCACCAACAATCCCTGTATTTACTGTACCGTAGCATTCCCTCTGCCAAGCCGTGAGGGGCAGACCGACTACCAAGTCCTAGCGAACTACACGAGCAGTACAAAACCTGCTACTGATCCTGATGTTAAAGCCATCTGATGATTAGTGAAAGAAGTGAAATCTAGGTCCTCAATTCTATCTCTGCAAACCAGCATTTCTGTATGTCCTTATTAGTGTGTTTTGTAATCCACATGACAATTCGGAGTGTCCCTGCCTGGCCCAAGAGCTTTGACTTTTAAATTCAGGGAAGAAGCTCTGCCTACAATGCTGCTGTGAGCAGCTCCTCCTCTCTGCAGGCTACAGAAGGTGTCATTTCTAAAGGTCCTCTGATCAGTTACGAGCATTGTACATCTGTGAATCAGCCACAAAACATGCTGCCACGCGCCACCAAGTGGCTAAAGATGAAAAGGCTTCCATAAAAAATTGATTTTCACCTTGATCCTACTCCAAGCATCTTGTAGTGACTTTTTAGTTAAAGTGGGTTTTCCAGTACTTTGAATAAACCAACAGCCACAGCCCAGTGTTTTCAGCCTCTGAATGTCAACCCGAGCTTCACCATTCAAACTACTGTCCTGTTAGACTAGCAGTTTTCAGGGCGGAAGGTAAAACATCGCCGTTTCTTTTTGTAGCAATCTGGGATTTCAAGACGAGGTACAAGCCAGAAGGCAAGAGACATCAGCCCCAACCAGCCCACGCGCATCTGCGTACGTACATAAGGGTGTTTTGTCATACCCGTTTTCTCATAGAGGGTTCCTGGGGTTTCTCAAATTTCCTTTTCCTCCGCAGATGTACTTCGTCTGACTTTCTCCTCAGTATTGAGTCAACTTGAGTCTTTTTGGAATGTTCCTCAGATTTCCGCCTGGGAGTTTCTTCACAGTCCCCTTTCCGTTTTGCAGCATCTGTTACTTCCTTATTGTCTCTGTTCATTTTCTGTTCCTTCAGCAATGAGCCTGGGAGATTTGATGCGTATTTGAATCCTGGTCCGCGCTTTTGCTTGTACGCCAAAGAGACACAAAACACAAACAAACTTTATATCTCATGCCTTTCTCAGCTATTTATGTAAGTTGTCTCCAGCACTGGTGGCTTGATCACTTTGTAACAGACAAAAGCATTAACAAGGAGTTACAGAAGTTGTTTCAACCTTTAAGAAGTTCTTATACACACTTGCAGTGTTTCAGTTTACAAAAAAAAATAAAAAAACAGAACACAAAAAAAGAAAACAAACAACATTTCAGGTTTTGCCTATTTTTTTCCCTTTTACAAAATCCAAAGAAGTATTTTCATCTTAGAAATTAACATGCAGCAATGTACAGAACTAACCTACATTCTCCCCAGATTTTGGGTGAAGCGCATGGGAGAAAAATAAAGAAAACGACTGGGGAACAAACAGAAAGCCAAGAGCTTATTTCCTTTGACTCAACTGAATTAGACACAAAAACAATAGCTGGTACTGGGCGAAATTGTATCTACAAGCCAGAGGGAATAGCTTGAGATTTTGTAGGTCGTTCCAGCACCACTTATCCCCATTAAACTCACTTTTCCAGTTTTCCCTGCATGGTTGCACTTTGGACACTCCCAGCAGTTCGGCAGCTCATCGTTAACCACACCATCTGATTCCTTCACCTGGTGAAAGAGAGGCACAACTCAATTCACAGCAAGCCACAGGAAGCTGCAAAAGTCTACAGGAAGAATCATTCAGAGGCATCTCTTACAGCTCTTCATTTTTCTCTGAGCGACTGCTGCCCTCCTGATGGCTACAGAAAAGAAACCCCGATCACCACAGGTGCTGGTGCTGAGCACAGCCTCAGTCCCACAAAACCACCCTCGTGGTAACACCGATGGGAGGCAAGCGTGCTGGTCAACTTGGTACGTGACACGGGGTTCAGGTTTGGGGTTTTGTGAAGGTCAAGGGCCATCCTAATTAACACTGGGTATGTTCTGCTCTTGCAAAAATATTAAAAAAAAAAAAAAAGCAAAACCAGAAAACAAAACACAAAGCTCCCCCCAAGAAGGGCTGTAACTGTGCCATCTCCAAAGGCCTCCCACTTTGATGCGAAAAGCTCAGGCCCCATCCCATGTCCCCCCCCACCCCGAAGCGAGGCACAGCCTGAGCTTTTCATAGGAAGGGATTTTTCCCATACACACGTTCTCACATATATTAATACTGGCAGGCATTTTTAGAAGCAGAGCACCCTGCACTGTAATCAAGTGTTCCTTGAAATATTTTTCTTTATGGCCGGAGCTCGCAGCCCCGTGCACCCAGCCCCCAAGCTCATGTGCCAGTAAAAACGCTGGTTGCCAAGTCAGCTGGAGAACAGGCACACTTATTCAGAAGACTAGACACATGAAATCATTTTCAGGGCTCCTCACCCTGCAGTTATCCAGCTAGCATGAGGAAGAGAAGCTCTTACTGCTCGGCTACCCCTGCGGGACAGGGACATTTTGCATTTCGCATCGCAGCCGAAAGCAGAGGGCTGCGAAGCTGCTTTCTGCCTCTCCACACGGGAGCCCTCGTTACTCTCCAAACAGGAGATCGGTGGCTTGAAGAGAAATTTCTGTGAATGAAACTGAGGAGGAACAGTACAGCTAGGCTAAAAGCACCTCCACACAAACACATATGCTCACTGATGGCACATTCACATCTCAAGGATTTCGATATATATTTAGACAAAAGCCTTGAGGGGAAAAAGGAAAGATGATTTCGTGGCTGTAGTAGCATGTTTTTGTTGTCTACAGTCAAGACAAACAGCTGGGCATCGGCAGCACAGTAGCAGGAGACTGCTGCTGAAACAGGCAGGGGCAAAGATCTGCAGATTTTTCTTGTTTCTGAAACATTTCCTCCTCCCAGCTGGGTGAAAACGTGCTGGCTGTGCAGGAGCGAGCCCCGCTTTTAGGGAACTGCTTCCTCCAGTCCCTGAGCCAGACAGCAGCCCTGCTAGTTTCACCATCCAGCAAGAGTGATGACATGTCAGTCTCTCTCAGCAAGTCTTTTGGAGTTAATAAACGAGTAAATGAAGTGGGCAGAATTTAAATACTGGTTTTATCACAACTGTGCGCCTTTGAACCTTCTTTCCCATGGTAGGTGTAAGATACTCCAGGAGCTGTTGTATACATCTCTGCCTCGGGGGAACAATCCCTGGCCCAAGCCCAAGTTGGGAACAAGTTATTTCCCGCACCGAATATAGAACAAATGCTACCAAAGGGAAAGCATTACAGCTCCGTCCCTTCTGTGAAGTTGAAGGAACTGAACAGATGTGAGGAACTGTAAGCAAACTAATTAGACACACACAAACCTGCCACCGAATCTGTCCCAAGCCTCCTAGGCTGGGTGGGAGCCAGTTGGGTGTTTGCTACCACCAGCAGGTGGGCGTCTGAGCCCCGGCAGGAGGCAGCCTCAGGACCATACCTGCAGCACGAGGGTGGAGGTTCAGGAAGCCTCAGCGTGAGCCTGCCCTGCCGGGAGGGCTGCCTTTTGGGGAGTAAAGTACCCTGGGATGTTGGTCTGGTATCGCTGAGCAAGAACCCTGACTCCTGGCAGTGCCAAGACTGAAATAACCCAGGCACGGACACACCTGGGCTGAAGACAGGGGCAGAAATGCAGCTGTGCTGGAAAAGGACTTTATTTTTCACTTACTCTTTCTGCTTTTCTGTCAATACAACTAAAATATCCCCTGTTTTCCATCGTTATCACTACATTTACGTAAGATGAAAAAGAAGAGGATCTGACTGGGAAAACGAACCCCTTTTCCTTAAGGAAACGGCATCAGACACTGCACTTGGGTCACCCGTGCTAACCAACATTACTAGTAATGGGACTTGCAGCAAGAGAAACCCATCAATACTGGTTCAATTCGAACGCTCTGCTCCAGTGAAAGGCAATATCCCTCTGAAAAGCTCAGCAGCTTCCTCTGGAAGCAGCGCTGTGCTGGGGGAAGGCTTGCCAACATGATTTTCCTAAGAAGCTGTTCGGCAGAACGAGCACTCGTGCTGGTATTGTGTTTTCCAAGAAAAGCAGCAGCGTGTCGGAAAGCACCCCGTGCCACTCCTCAGGACATGCCACAACCTGGCTGCCCTTCACACAGCTCCTACACAGGCGTGTAACGTACCCTGTGCTAGCAGGGCACCCGCAGGAGCTCCTCAAGGCTGTGAGTGTGGCAGAGCACAGATGAACCCCAGCTACCTTCATGAAATGCTTCGGGTTGGAAGGAACCTTAAGGATCATTTAATTCCTAAAGATCAGCTATAAAAGCCCCTCCAGAAGCTAGCATTAAAGCTAGCTCAAGTATTAGGCACCGGCACGCGACAGACGCAGCAGATGCCCTACGAGGCCACCCCCTGACACTGTTTTTTCCTGGAGAAAACCCACCACGAACACGTAAAGCCCAAGGGGGAAGCTGGAACAGGACAGAGCAAGCTACCCACGAGCAGCCCAGTGCACGTGCCCGAGCCCTGGAGATGCACCCTGGAGAGAATTCTCTCTGCAGGGGAGCAAGGCAGGGAGGGACGCTCACTCCTCCCCTCCCTGCCCAATTTCTGCTGGTTTCCCCCAAAAGTACGTTTGCTGGAGACAACCCCCACAGTTCACAAGTCTTCCTGCTGCCTTCTTTCTGAGCAGGCCAGGAGGGGATCTCCTCTCGGTAGGCACCCACAGCAGCTGCCCTGGGGCCACGTTTGTTTTCAAAGGTGCTTCCCACAAGGGCTGTTTATGGGACTCTGTCCGCGGGGCTTTTAAGCCCACATCAGGGGGCAGCACATAAATAAAGCACCGGGCTCTTGTCTCACAGAAAACTACGGAACCCAGGAACAAAGAGCAAGGAGGGAACCAAGGAAAAGGTCCCGTTTGCTTTTTGCTGTTCTCCTCTCGCCTTCCAAGGTGATTCTGAAATCCTCCTGGAGCCCTTTTGTTTGGGTATCTGACCACCACCACTATCCCACTGTTGCAGCTCAACAGAAGCACAGAGTAATTAAAAAAACAAGATACGCTGCAAGTCTCCCACCGTTTCATTTTCAGCAATACCTCGAGCAACATTGTTCCTAGTTACCAAAACATCACTCGGAACATCACATATGCATAAAGGAACAAACAGCACTTGCTTGAGTTCACAGATCTGACCCACATCCTGTGCAACCAGTCCCAGATGTGGTACGGTGAGAGGAAACCACGCTTGAACTGCCACTAGACAACAATCCCAGCCTCTGGACCCAGCCAAAAAGTGTAACTGGCACTGCAAGGAGAGGGAAGGGGGGTGTGGAGCACTCTGAGGGGGGCTGGAGTAGGAAAGCAGCAGCTGCAAGGCAGAACCGGGGCACCCCGAGAAAGGAGAAGCTCCTTCCCTCGCTTCCTCACCCCCTGAAACTTTGTTTTAAGCAAGCAAAGCTCCCCGAGTCCTCAAGTGGCAGGAGCTGTGGGTATCAAAGCTACCTGCTTTCTGCTCTAGGGACACACGGGTTGGTTGGTGAATCTCAGCACACAGTGCAGGAACAGTGAAAGGCACGGAGAGCAGCACCCCGGGCCTGCACGAGGAACGCGCCTCCCCTCCCGGAGATCCCCGGGGGCCCAAGGCTGCTTCGTGGGGCACGGTATGTCAGAGCACATTTGCTTTGGCAAATCACTTTAACCATAAACAAATCAGCAACAGGAAATGGCTGAGCAGCCGAGACACAACCAGCTCTGGAGAAAGGAGGCTTCCAAGTGCTCAGACACATGGACTTGCCCAAAATCACACTTCTGGTACTGACGAGGAGGGTATCTGCTCGCAGTGCTCGAGGCAGCCAAGGCTGAGTGTTCCTGCAGCCTGAAACTTGCTCAGTTTGTTCTCTGGAGCTGCAGTCCTACGGCAACCTCTGCTCACAGCACCTTCAAGCCAGCTGCCACCAAAAGGCAGCTCTGTGCCTGGACAAACCCGGACAGCAAACCGCTCCTTGTACTCTGTGGGACACGGGAAGGAGCTGCTGGTTTGTGACTAACTCATCCAACGCTACATACAGGTAGATTCCTCTGCCCCCTTGAGCTTCCTGTGCCAGCTGAGATACCTCACTTAAATAAGAAGTAAAAAAATAAATAAAACACTTGCATGCACGCACGTTTTGCAGGCTTGCTCTGGGCGGACAGGGGATGGATGCTGGTCACATCAGAAGAGAGCTCCCTCCTGCCAGCCAGGACCGCGCAACGCCACGGCTTCAGTCCTGCTTCTCACCCCAACTCTGTGCTCACTCAGTTTCCAAAGACGAAACCGTGAAAGTTTTCTAACTTCTATGCCCTACTTTTATGTTAAGGTGACATCTAATCTACTTTTAGTTTGCTTGTTTCCAACAGGTATTACATCCTTGCACTCACCTTAAGGCATCCTGGGTGTATTATTTCATTACAAATGGAGCATTCCATTAGCATGAGATTAAACTTGCTCTCCTCCTCTTCCACAGTGTCCTCTTTCCCAGCTTCTCCACACACCAGACATACAGCAGTATGAGGCAACACCGGCTGTTTACACATATCAGAAGGAAGTCTTGATCAGGGCACATAAGACATACGGGAACAGAAGAATTCAAAATGCATTTACAGTATTTTCATTCCAAAGAGAAGATAAATAGGGCTTAATTGTGCAAACTGCTGAAGGCTCCGTCCCAGCGCATCAACAAAGGCAAGAAAAACTGGTAACTGGGGCTGGGTACCCAGACCAAGCATCGCAGGACGTGTTGAGGGAATCAAAGTGCCCTCCCTCTAGCAACATTAATCCACGGGGCATTGCAGGGATGAAAGCGTTGGGGTTTTTTTGTGTGGGTCCCTTGGATCTGTGAGCTGACACAGACATTGGCACGTGTGTCACTTTTCTACCATACAAAGGGAGGCAAAAGAAGCAACCTGCAACATCACTGTTCACATCCGTGAAGCTTCACAGTCTGCCTGGCAATTTGGCAGCGCCCCTGTTTTACAGGCAGGGCAGGCAGATGTTGTGGGACCCAACCCAGCCCTCACAGCAAGCCCACGACAGACCCAGAACAGACCTTTTGCTGACTGATAGCCTACTACAGGAGGCCCTGCCCCCAAAGCATTGCAAAAAGCACTGCACAGGCACTTAAAGAGAGAATTCCTCTTCCAGAAGTGTCACAAGTGGGAAGCTCTGTGGTTTTTTTTCCTATCTTTTGCTGAAGCAGAAAGGGAACTGCAGCATCTCTTATATCCATCACCCAAGTCAAAGCACTGAATGCCAGTCTAATTAAAAAGCTACCTTAGTGCTAATGAGGAACAAACTTCTTGTTTCCTGCAATAAGGTACAAGCCATTACAAGAAATAAACGGAAGATCCTTGTAAGAAGCTGGCTATAACGTGAAATGGAATCGATCAGGTTGCAACTCCCTAACTATTAGGTAGTTGGAAGCAGAGATGTGGCTTTTCATGGCAAGGCTCTCTCATTTATGGAGCAAATAAAGACTGGAAGTAAAAAACTGCACACTGAATCAAATCTCTGCAGCAACAGCCCATCCTTCAGGAAGTTTCAGACAGGGATAAAACTAACTATGGTAAGCCAATACAGAGCACAGCGTGCTGCCCCACGCACCAGCATCAGATATGGCAACGCATTTCTGCTTTCTCATGCCAGTACTTATCCACAAGTCCCTTTTCAAAGCATTTTGCAAATGTTATTGAATTCCCAGTCTTCCTCCATGCACACAAGAGGAATCCCCAGGATCCCACTCCGCCAGCAGGTAAACCAGAGGAAAGCTAAGAGCTGCGACAGCTCTGTCCGCCTGTTCTGTCCCATCTCCCACACGACACCTATTTATATCCACCCCCGAGGAACAAACAGCCCAGAAGCAGTACAACTTTTCTTGCTGGGAGCAAGGGTGTCTCGGGAACCTCCTCTGTGCCCCACCTAGCTCTGTCCCACTGCCGGAGTGAACAGCAGCTCTGCTGTCACAACCTGACCTCCCAGCACAGAGCCCCCCACTTCCTTCAGACCTACTCGACGCAGCAGCAAGTGTCCCAGGCCCTCCTCCTTCCTCCCTTGATTGAAGCAGTGATGCAGAGGAGTTTCCTGTTCTCTGAACGGCAGTGCTGGCTCTCTAAAGGCTTCTGAGTTTAATGAAAGCCTGCGCCTAGTTAATATCGGCAGTGTTATTAACCAGAGGAAGGCACAGTCCCAGAACTGTGGGGATCATTACTTCCACAGAGCCTCGCTTTGGTGGTTTCCTTTAGCTGGGAGCTGTTGGATGCGTACCACAATATATTACTGCTGCGATTGTTAGAGAACATAATGAACAAGAGTAAAGACAATTGGATTGCCTATAGAAACGGAAGGCACCATTAAAAACTGCAACGGTTCAACTTGTTAATTTACTGCGCTCTCGCTGTTCTAAGGAAGTTTGCAATATTCCCACCGTTACTCACACCACCGAGACCTCACAAAGAGCAGATATCCCTTAAGCACATGCACAGGTGGGACAAGGAAGCAAAGTGCCTCGACTACAGAGCCGTGTCTTCTAAACACGGCTCCTGGAAATAAACCTGCAGGTAACAACTGGAAACTACTTCTTCACAAGAAAAGAGGGGATGAGAAGATGACTGCACACAGCCAGGAGAGAACCCAGCTCCTCTCCTCCACAAGGCCCAGCCTGTGTGAAGACTGAAACACCTTACTATGAAAACTTCCTTCTACAGGCAGGATGAGGAAGCACACTGCAGCCCTAATGTAATCCCTCCACTAAAAAGGCAGCATGATTTCACTAGTTCTTCTCCCTGGAGAATGATAAATTCTTCATCCATGCTGTTCGATTCATGCCACACTCCAGGAAATCAAGTGTTCAAAGAAAAGACACTTGAGCTGCAAAAGCACTCTGAGGAAAGGTAGATAGATATTCTGTGCACTTTACTAAAAGATCCAGGAGAGCTGAATCCAATCCTCTGTCAAGAGCACCGCATGGCTTAGAGCAGGACACAGCGTGGGCTACCAGGAGCAACTACTGGAAACCCTGAGTGCGAATCGGTTTGTAAAACCTGACCCGAGCCATTTAATAATGCCACCACATCAGGATTAGAGAAAAAAATGTAAGTGAAAGGAACTGTAACAAGACTGAATCAAGAGTTACTGAGAAATCAGGATAGATGGTGTAATTCAGTTATGAATAAACAACATTCCTTCCCTTAAAAACAAAATAAACAAAAAACAACACACAAAAAAATAAGAAAACCAAACCAAACCAAACCAAAACCTTCAACAACACTACACAAAAGGCCTTCCCAAAGAATTATGAGAAAGCCAAAGCTAATTTTTCCTCTTCAACGAGAGCACTGTGGACAAAAGGCCTGAGGAGCTCAGTGACAGTCGATATGAAAGCAATGATTCAGAACTTCATGGAAGACTAATCTGTCAATACGTGTTAAACACAAAGCTATCACTTACAACTCAAGAAGCTTCTAAGAAACACATCACAATAGCCCAGGAAACTGCCTTTGACTACCACTTGCCCTGTTCTGACACTCACCGCATCCCCCAACAGCCATTTCCAGTCCCTGAGGAAGAGAAGGCCCCAGGATGGATGGCTCTTTGGCTCTTCTCCATCAGACCCCCCTTGTACGCTTAGGTAAATGGCAAATTAATTGAAATTTGGATCTCAAGTAGCCTCTGGTCACCAGTGCCAAAGTCTTGGGGGATGCCAAAGACTTTTGCACATCTTGAGGTGGTCAAGCAGCTAAGGTGGTAAAGATTGTTGCAAGGTGGCTTTTATTAGAAATTTCAGAGGCCCAAACCACAGAGGCCTCTTCAAATTTGAACGGTAACTTCCCGCTCTCTCTTCTCCCCACAATCCCAGAATTTCAGTGTCATTTGAGTGCCAATTTCTGGCGAATTGATGACCTCCACATCTACCTTCTATACTACTGAGAACAAAAGCCACGTCACTGAGCTTTAGGCTCAGTCCCACACCTTGTCACCAGGAGAGGAAGCTGAAGGAAAGAAATCTCCGAACGAGCTGTACCAGCAGGTGCACTTACTGCGATACACTGCCTCATAATGCAGGACTGTTTCATCCTGCCAGGCCCCCCGAACTTCTTCATGTCCTTGCAGAAGTGACACTCGCCGCACTCTGTCCGCAGACACGCCTCGCACTTGCGGCATCGCGTCCTCCTCCGGCGGGCTCCAGCGGTCGTCCGGTTAGCTGCGAGCTTCACCGCAGAGGCAGCGCCCAGCTTCCCTTTGGGCCGTCCGACCGCCCTGTTCTGAAAGAGTCAGACACACAAAGTTAGTTGCACATCCCATGGAACACCTGAGCTACAGAAAGTCCTTGGGCTGGAGCCGTACATGGCGCAGACGTAAAGCTGGCAGATGTATCAGCCATACGCAGATGGCTAATACCCAGCAGATGCACGCAATCACTCTTAGAGCTAAAGGAATTCTGTCACCTTTAGAGGGAAAAATGAATTGTAAAAAGACAAAGAAACCTAGGCGCAAGTGAGAGATGCCAAATCTATCGTAAACCCAACACAACAGGAGGGCACTGAGAAACTATTTATGCACAACTCAATGCAGGACTGAGCCCCAAGTGATGTTCTTGGCTTAGGTCAAAGGTAAGACCTGTGCCAGCACAGAGCTCTGGGCTAGGGAGCTCCTAGGACTGTGCTCAGGTTAAGTCAGGTCTACTTTCCTCCTTCAGAAGAGTCCAAGGAGGCAGCAAAAGTAATTCTGAGGCTAGATACAGCAGGGAAACATTCTGCAACAATAGCTCAAGTCACAGCAGTCTCCCTAAAAGAAAAGCACAAACTGCTGCCAAGTGACAAACCAGGAAATAAACCACAAATCCTGCAAAACCCCTTCCAGAACAGCTCCCCTCCTATCCAACACTAACAAGTGCTCAAAACCAGAGTACTAACTGATGCTGTGCAAAGGCTAAAAAGGGCATCCCAGGTCTAGATTTCAATGACCTGTGAGGCAGAAGCTAAAGGAACATGAAAAGATTTTAAATGATGAGGTTAACTGCAACATATTCACTCCAGATATCTGAATTTCATGTTCTAATGAGAAACTCCCTGTTCAGCACAATAACACAAGCCAAACATCGCCAAGCACAGTGTCATCATACGGGGTAATTAGCCACTGATTGGTGTGGCTTTCTTACTACTGACAACTTTCACCATAAAGATGACAGTGACAGGACTGCAGAGCTCATCTGGTTTAGTATTTGCACAACTCCTCCACTTTCAGTGCCCCCCAGCACACAGAGGCCAGACTTAACCAGTTTCACTTTCTGTTTGTGCTGAATTCTGGGCAGTCACCGAGGCAGGAGGAGGTTGGCTACAGAAAGCCACGCGCAATTTCCACCGCAGCTTTTAAAAGAAAGAGCTACAGACACATTGGGCTTGGTACTGCCAAAGCTTTCAAGTGTCCTGCTGTATGGTAACCCTGACAAAAAGGCACGTGGGAGAGGATTTGACCTTCCTCCCATCCATCCCAGGAAGCCCCCAGTGACTTAGGACACAGCAGAGCAGCAAGGAGCTGCACCTCTCTGCCTCCTTTCCCACAGACCCACTGTTGTAACCGAGGTGGGAGAAAGCATTACTCAGCTGACGACGTTACACGGATTCCTGCGAGTTTTTAATTACGCTCCTCCACAGCAGTTTCTGTTCTCCTCGCAAGCTGAATCCCGCTGTGCTCTGTGAACGCAGAGAGGTGTAGCTTCCCATCGGAAACTGCACTAGACACAGCTTTCAGATCAATTTCAGACACTCTAAAGAATAAATATTTGCCTTTTAGACCAACATTGCAGCCTCTCAAGGCTAAAGTCGGCTCTGGCAGGACTGGCTTAGCACCTAGATAAGAGATAATTTCCTTCCTCGGCATGAATCACCCCTCCACTCTCTCTATTACAACCTCCTTCCACCAGCAGAGGAAATGAGAAAAACGAACCGAAGGGAGTAAGTTCAACTGAAACACATTCAGCAACCCGGGCAGCTCCCGTCTGCCGACAGCACGTGGAAGGTTCTGCGTTAGCCCAGCTCCTTCCCACTAGGTTTGAACACGATTAAGTTTTTTAAGAGGGCAAACAGCAGTTACAATGCCATCAGCACGGTCTTTTTTTAAAGGCAACCTCTCGCAAGGAAACTTCAAACTCGGTGCTTTTCCCAGCCCAAAGGCAACTCCTGATTTTACGACAGTGGCACGAGCCAAGCCCCAATTCTGGTGACTCTCTTGAGCACAAGGACACCGGGAAGTTTCAAGTAGTGGAAAGGTATCGCTGAACGCAGAAATGGAGAACCTTGATTAAAAAAATAAAAATAAAAGAAAGAAGCAGGCAGGTGAAGCTGTAAGGACAAGTGGGAAGCCAGAGCACACCACACAACTCAGAGCTCCTCGTAAATCACCACCACGCAGCGAAAAGCAGCCACGCAGAGCTCTGACCCCACTGAACGTAACGGATCTGTGCCCGGCCCTCTTCACTGCTCTTCAGGAAACCCAAGCCACTGGACCAGCTGGGGTTGTGCTCACTTACCAACCCACCAGCCTCGATCCTCCCCCGTTTCCTACCAGGATGTCCCAATCCCAGCCAGCAGGGCTGGAGAGGCCCAGCAGGAATTCCCACTCGTATCCAGTTTCAAGGGGCTCGAATGCGGTCGCTTTATAAACCTCAACAGAAGAAAAGCTGGCCTGTGGGTTGCTCTCCCAGAGAAGTGCTGGGATTCAAGGGGGGTAGAAGGAGCCTCCAACACGACTTGGGGTTTATTTAGCACGTGGCAGCCAGCCAGATGAATTCCAGGTCGATGCTAGGGAAGAGATGCTGCAGGACCCCCAGCTCAGCCTGCAGGCTCATGGTACAGCAGCCAGGTAGTTAACCTGGTGGAGATTTCCTTCTCAGGGGCTGCCCAGCTCAGCACCCTCCCAGGATGACTCCATGGAGCTGTCCTGCAGCCACCACTGTCAGCTGTCCCAAAGAGAAGGCTTCCACCATACCTGAAGAGAATTTTTTTCCCCTATTCATACAAAAAACACCAGAGGGTCAAGGCAGAGCTGCCTGAACTGCTACCAAAAGCAGTCCCGTGTTCTCTGGCACCTCCACAGAACCTGCCCGCACCTCTCTGGCCACAGAAGAGCCTCCAGAAGAGGGGCAGAAGGATGCTGAGGCGACGCCGAGCTCTCTCCCAGGCTCCTAACAAAGGCTCTGCAAGCAGCTCCCAAAACCTATTAGGATTAATAGACTAAATACTTACTTCTGTTATGCTGAGACCTAGAAAGCTGGTGGACTGGCACTACCCTCTAAAATAACCTGTGTTAACAGGGCACTCTGCTGGCTTTTCCCTCATGTTACCACTATGAAACACACAAAGGTAACCACACCAACCAAAATTTAAATGCTCAGAGCTTGCTCCTGCACCAGACACAGCATGACCCGCATGACACCTGGGTACTGGGCACAAATTTTAGCCATCGGATGCAATACACTCTGAACTCCACACTCTGCAACAGAATCACAGCTTTGGGGTTTACAGCAACACGCTTCTGACCTTCACAGCTGCAAAGAATAACTCAAAAGATCTCAGATTAGCAAAAAAATACCAAATCAAACTTTGGAGACAACTCTTCAAGAGCTATCAGCTGTAAATGCATCGCTAAGTGGGTGCTGATGTTCCCCAACTGCTATCCCAGCGCTGACCGGGCTCTGCTGGAGTTGTCACCAGGCAATTTTGCATACAAACGCCTCTGCTCTGGAGAGGAACATCAGCTGACAGCCTGAGCCAGTCCGGGAGGAGTCCTGGCCTGCCCTAAAAGCAAGGCTGATGAAGCCTGTAGCCCAGAAACAAGCTCTTCTACAAGCGGGCATGGGTCCTGCTCCACCACCCAGCTTCAGCAACCTGCCTGCTGCTGCCAGCAGCACCGCACCACGACTTCAGCCTGAGCGCCTCCAGAAACATCCAAGGGCACTTGCAGTGCCCTTCTGACACCCTGAAGCACTTCACTTCCTACCCAAGTATGATCTGTACAGCTTACGTATCCCACTGCGTAAATCTCTCCAAGAACAGACATCTCACAGCTGTGGTTTTCACTGCTCCGAGGTGCTGTGCCACATAAACGTATCCCTTTCACTCCCAAGACCAGGATGATTTCCTGCTGTAGCACGGGACACATTCCAGTTATGCCGACCAAATCCACGCAACAATATTAGCAACAAAAGAGAGGAAGACCTGGGGCTTGAGGGGCACCAGTCCTCTGCGTAGACCTCTGTAAGGCGCTGCATCCCGATGCAATTCCTTCAACTGTTACAAACCCTAGCCAGAGGAAGGAGGAAGAAAGGACAGGGTGATGTGGCTGCAAGCATTCGGTGGTGACAAGGAAGAAGCTAGTGTAAGGCAGCAAAAATCAGGCTGATGGCCAGTAACATCCTTAAAAGCCACACAAAGTGAAGAGCACAAGCCAACGCCACAGACTCGATGCATCTGACTCCAGCCTATCTGCCCCAAAGCGTACACGTGCTAACTCAGATCTCTGTTTTCTGCTGGTGGCGATGCTCACATCACCCATACGTTCCTGCCAGGTGGAGGTGGCCAACAAGACAGGTTTTGGCCCAAGCCCAGCAGTAAGGGGCACATCGGGGTAAGGGAAACCAGGGGAACTTCTTCGTTCCCAACCAAGTGGGAAAGTTTCTACCTTGCAGGTCCATCTACACGTAAGTAATACTCCACCAGCTCTTCTGCCAACACAGCGACGTTGTGCAGGGCGCGATAAGCCGGCACGTCAGTGCCAAACCAAGTGCCCCCATTTATTTTCCTCTGGTGGTGAGGAGGCAGAAGTTAGGCCTGGAGGGTGAAATAAGACACATTGGCAAAAACATGCGTTTGTAGATAAGCCGCATCCAAAGTAGGAGCTCTTAAAAAGAAAGGCACCAGGAAGCTACACAAAGCTAGGGCACATCACACAAACACAGCTTCTCATCTTTGGAAGAAATTCCACTACCACCGCCCGGGAGCGTTTTTCACAGTCCGGTTATGCACGCAGCTTTTGTGGGACCAACCATCGGGGTTGGCCCAACAAAAACCATCACGCTTCTTCCCCCAGCAGGCAGGACACACGCCCGGCACGCACCTTCCCGAGCCCTGCTGCCAGCATCGGCTGCCACTTCAGCGTGGTAAATCCTATCTGTGCTCCTGCTGGAGCACACAGCGAGCTTTACCTGCTCAGTCCAGAAATGGAGTAGGGGAAGGGGAGAGGCTGAAGGGCAACATCAGAAGAA